TTGTCAGTTTCCATTTTGGTCTTCCTGCTCTTACAACAGAGCCCTGGTGGTGGTACAGTGGTTTAAGCGGCTGGTCGCTGGCCAAAAGGTTGGTGGTTCAAACCCATCAGCTGCTCCACAGGTAAAAAAGATGTGGCAGTTGGCTTCTGTAAAAGTTTTAGCCTTGGAGGGCAGTCCTACAGGGTCACTATGAATTTAAATCAGCTAAAGTGGTGTGTCCCCCCCCCCATCTCACAATTATCATTTATAAACAAAGGCCTTTCAAATACATTCCACTTCATTGGCATAACAATCCTGGGAAGACTGCCTTATATGTAAGCATTCAGAGGGTCTGAGGGAGCTGATCTCATCCCATAAACTAAGAAGGGTCCCTCCTGGTCTGCAAACTGAGCTCATGTCATAAAAATTTTTGTTTAAAAGGAAAAAAGCAGACTTTTTCTAGCAGGAAGTCTTAGGGGTTTGGGGAAACGCTGCTTCACTTTTCAGTGTTCCTCACCTGTAAACAAATACGGTGACGCTTTTACTTTAAGGGGTGTAAGGGCTGAATGAGAGCTTATGTGTGACGCACTGAGCTCAAGGGAAGAGTTATTTCTAAGGAAAAGGCAGGTGTTCTGTGCATCCCTGGCTCTTGCCTCCCCCAACTCCCCCTATGTTTTTCCTATCCCACCCTCAACAAGATGGACTGACACAGTGACTGGGGTAATGGGTTCAAGTGTGTCAGAAATATAACGAGGTGGTACAAGTTAGGATAGGGGTCAGATCTGTTGTTCATAGGGTCGCAAAAAGTCCTACTTGACTGCATGGCACCTAACAACAACAATCCAGTCGAACTCAGGCTTGCCTTATGGGCTTTCTCGGTACCCACTAACCAGTCCGGTAATCCTCTTCCCGTTCTGCAAGGTGCCCCCCACTCCTCACCTCTAGACTCCACCCCTTCTTGCCGCACCTACCAGATACAGTCTCAATCCTAATAACGCGGATTTTTCCTACCATCGCCATCCCATCTGACCCCTCCCACTATGACCGCCCCCTTTTATAACCCCGCCCCCTCTACAGCTTTTCCCCTCCCCCGCATCCACAGCTATTACTAGCCCCATTTTACAGATGAGAATGACGAGGCTGGAGTAGATTAATCTTTCATGGGTAATCACGACAGGTGCCCAGGTGGGCACATGTCCCCTCACCACCCATTCCCGTGACCCGAGCCATGCCGCACCCACCTCCTACCCTCGCTCAGCAGCCTCCCCTTCCCCGGCGGCCAGCGCAGCTTGGCTAGAGGGGTGGAGGGCCAGAACCCAGCCTAGGGGCGTGGTGGCCCGGGACACGCGCGTTGCACTCAGGAAGGTGTAGTTCTCTCTGGACCCTTTGCAGCTGAGTGGGCCAAGAGTGAACTCCATCTCCCAGGAGGCATTGCGCCAGGCAGACTCCTTCTTTGCCCCACCCCTGCCAGCTCTCAGGCCAGCTAGCCTTAAAGGGGACGCGTCCCGTTTGGTGGCTCGCGGGGTGGCCTCCGCTCCAGCTCCGCCCCATTTCCCCGCACCTCGTCCCTCCCCCCCACGCCCCCGCCGCGTCCCGCAGCCCCGCGGCCGAGCCGCAGAGTTGGGCTCTTTGAACACAGATTTGTGCAGAGCAGGGTGGAGAGTTTGGACTTTGCAGTGGAAATAGCATCCCAGCCATCTGAGACCTGGCGGAGGGCGTCCCCATCCCAAGGGGAGCAGTGGATCCGCCCTGACTTAGCCCGGCCCTGCCTTGCCCTGCCTGGCCTGAGTGCCCCACCCAGGAGCCGACTCCGAGGCAGGGGCCACTGGGTTAGGGAGGTAAGGGGGCTAGGGGCGTGTTTGCGAAGTGGGAGGTATCTTCATCTTGGTTGCTTGAGAGATCCCCACCTGCGTGTGGGGCTCTGAGAGGCTGGGGCTGGGAGGCAGGAGGTCTAGGTGCATGCTGGGCCTTGCTGTGTGACCTTGGGCGAGTAGCCGCCCCTCTCTGGGCCTCAGCTTTCTCTGTCATCAAGTACCGAGATCATCTCCTAGTACTGTGATGCTCGCCAGCCTTTTGTGGGGTCTGCAGCCTCAGCCTGCTTACCGAGTCATTGGAATAATTTGGGAGATGGACTGAGCTGGTGCTCAAACTGAGGGTTCCAGAGCTGACATAGCTTTTGCCATTCTCAGCATCCTCAGACCCTAGGGGTGTTCCCACAATGGCCTTTGCAAACAGGGGACCTTGACATGTCAGTCAGGTGCCCAGCCTTCTAGCAGAGTGGAGGTGGTGGGGGTTGGCCAAGAGTGATATGTGAGGGGTGACAGCCAAGGCAGAGGTGAACATCATTGGTTCCTGCATCAATGGAGCAGGGTTTCCGAGGGACAGTCTGGTGCCTGCCAGGCAGCTCAATTGGGTAGGAGGGTCAGAGGAGAGGGAATGAGCCTCCCAGCTATTTGATGCTAAGCCAGGGCTGCTCCACCCTGGACTATGAGAGATGTTTAGTGAGACCTTCTTCTTCTTTTTTTTTTTTTAGTGAGACCTTCTTTAAGCTTCCCCTTCTATAAGATTCTGCGAACTTTTTATCTGAGAGCTAACTAGGAACAATTTTGTTTGGGGTTTGGTTTTTTATTTTACATTTTTTTCTTTAAATTTGATTGTTTTGAGTCCTTTCTAGAATAGCTGAAGCTTGTTCCAGTGACCACTGCAGGCCTGCCCAGAGGAAGGGGCAATGAATGGCTCGAAGTTAGACCAGTCCTTAGAAGGTACCTTTTTAGTCACATCCCTGGCTTTACCTTCTATTCCTGTCACTTGCATATCATCAGTCACTTGTCACTTTCATGGATACTTCTGTGCCTGGAACCGTGCTGGGCATGGCTGGACCTGCTTCTTCCCAGGGACATTCCAGTTAGGTAGAGACAAATATGGAATCCGGTTACACTGCAGAAGGATGAGAGATGCTAAGAGCTTTGTCGGAGGCAGGAGCTCAGAGATTTGAATTACAGGGGGATTTGGAAAGGCTTCCATGAGGACAGGAATTCTAAGTTGGGTATTAAAGGATGGTGGTGCATTGGTTAAGCACTTGATTGCTAACTAAAAGTTGAGCAGTTTGAACCCACTGACTCTTTTACAGGAGAAAGATGTAGCAGTATACTTCTGTAAAGATCACAGCTTTGTAAACTATGGGGCAGTTCTACTCTGCCCCGAGAGGGCTGTGAGTTGGAAGGAACCCAGTGGCAGTGGATTTGGTTTTGGATGAGTCAGAATTTATCAGGAGAGAGGAGGGATATGCTTCTTGAAGCAGGAAGGTCATCACCACAAGGTAGTTATTAGGAAAAAGCCAATTAATTTACCAAAGTTCTAGAGATTCATCACCAAACAGGGCTTGTCAAATTTGTCTCCACCCCGTCCCACCTCAGCTTCTTGTTGTGTGCCCTTGAGTTGGAACCAACTCATAGCTGACCTTCCAGCAGGTTTTCAAAGGCAATTAATTCCATGGAAGAAGATTGCCCATCTTTCTCCCACAGAGCAGCTGGTGGATTTGAACTGCGTGCTTTTGAGATTAAGAAGCACAGCTTCTTACCACTAGGCTGACAGTAGTAAGTAAAGACTAGAATGTCAGGCTCAGGAGTTACCCTTATCCTGAAGGGCCTGGGGAGTCTTGGGAATTCTGGGCATGGACATGGCAGAAGGGAGTTTACAGAGTATTGGGGTTGATCTGATGTTGTTTGCAGGTGGGTTGGAGAGACCAGGGAGCAATGATGAAGTCTGAACTGAGGGTGGAGCATTGGAGTTGCACACACATCTCACACACTGGGTACTTAGATGGAGACAGATCAGATTTTGTCAACAATACACAGCAAAAATGCAGGAGGTCATCTCAGAAACAAATATGGAGACCGTGGCCTTCTGAGGGTGCAGATGTGGTTTTCTTGCATGCTTTCTTAGCAGGCCAGGTGCTGCTGAGACTCCAGGCTGTGATACCAGCAGAGTGAGGGGTATGATACAAAGCCATAGGGGTTGGGACATGGGCTGGAGCAGCAGTCCTGATGGGAAAGGGGTGGCCATGCAGTTGTCTCCTAGTCATCATGTGGGGTCAGAGGCTCTGAGAGGTGAAGCAGCACCCACCTCCATGGCTGAGGCCAATGTGGGGGGCAGAAGCAGTGATAGATCCAAAGCCTGGACCCTCTTCTCTAGGACACATACATCTTTTAGAGGATAGATTGAAGGAGGGAATGAGACCAGTTAGGAGACTTCCACAATAGTAAAAAAGTAAACTCATTATCAGGTGCTGTCAAATCCATTCCATCTCACAGTGGCCCACCAGACTAGAGCAGAACAGCCTGGGTTTCCTAGGCTGCAGTCTTTATAGAAACAGATTCCCACAGCTGTCTACTATGAAGTGACTTGTGGGTTTGAACTGCCTTTCAGTAAGCAGCTGAGTGCTGTAACTGCACCAGCAGGGCTCCTTAAACAAGAAGGCGAGGAGTTGATTTTGAGTCACGATGGAGCTCAGAGGAGAGATGGAGGAAATGGGAAGTAAAGGTGAGTAACAGGGCAAGTGGATGAAACGCCTTGTAGAATCAGTTAGACCGAGGGTCTCTCCTTCCCTGGTTCTGTGTGCTTTGCCTCTTGGTGCCAGCTAGCCCAGGGATAGACTCAGGACTGCCCAGCCTCCATTTGTTTCAGTTTGTTTTTCCATATTATTGTCCTAACCCATGAGTGGCAAGCCTGGAACAGTGCTATTTTTGAGGTAGGAAGGATGAGGAACTGGGCAGGGTCTTGTTAGATGCCAGCAAATGACTCTGAAGCAGAGAATCTGAGTCTTAGAGTCTTAGCTCTTCAGAGGGGGACATGACTATTTACTACTGTGACTGCCATGGTCAGAGCCAGTGTTGATAGCCTGTCTCTTCACCCAGGACCCACGTGGAGCCTCTCCTAAGGAACATAAGTGGTCTGTCGCTTTTTTTTTCCTAAGGAAGGTCAAGTGCAGATTCAAACCCACACCCTGCCAAGGATATGTCCCTTTCCCCTCTTTGAGAGATTAGGCTTCTCCAAATATGCTGTAGGGACAGCAAACCTAATCCTACTTCCCTTTCCTGACCTACGTAGAAGCCTTTAAAACCCTTTTGCATGAAAGCACCCAAGATATTATTGACTGGGTTTGCTGGTGGCTATGGTGACAGCTGACCTCAGACTACTTGCGTGGGAGTGGAGACAGGTAGGCAGGGCTGTGGCTGGACCCAAAGACTCAACAGCAGCTGACGGCTGGGCTGGCTTTTGACATCACAGTCCTCACACAATAGATCCACTGACGAACCACCCAGCTGCCAAGCACAAACCAAACCACCTTAGGTGGCACATAGTAGACAGAATGATAGGAAATTGTCAATATTTGATTGTTCAATTTCATGCAACTCAGCCCAATATAGTTATTTCTATTTTAGAGAAGAGAGAAGAAGCTTAAAGATATGATTTGCTCATGATCACAAATATGCTGTATCCTAATTTTATTTGCTGTCCATTTACAAAGCCTTCCTCGGCTCAGAGCTACATTTCTGCTGCCTCCGTGCCCTCTTCTCCCATGCTGATCACTCATCACTTTGAAGTTTTCCTTTTCTCCCTGAGTGCCAGGGTCTCTTGGCACCCTGGGTTGAAAGCAAATTAAAACCACTAGCCTACGGGTAAGGCTGAGGGCTCAATTGTGTTAGTGGGTGGGAGGATGGCTTAACAGCAGCTGTCTTGTCACAGGCACTGTCTAGGAAAGAGAATGAGCGGCTACCGGAGCTCTATTTTAAAACATTTGTAAAGCCTTTGGAGATGATGCCTTCCATTGTCTCTTTACAAACCTGTCTGTTTTCCTGTAAACTGGAAGCTCCTAAAGGCCAGAAAGACTTTCCCTCCAAAGCAAAGGGGACTTAGATTGTTTTGAGACCCTTTCTCTGACCAGCAACATGCTCAATACTTCATATATGTTTTCACAACTGCCCTACAAGATGGAAAAAGAGGGTCAGAGAACATGGCAAACTGCACCTCATATCAGCTTTGCTCATAGCTTTAGAAAAAAAAAAAAGGCTCAGGCACCTGAACTTTTGCTCAGGCAGCTAGTTTGGGAACCTCTGTTCTGTGCCATGGTTGTACCCTCCAATCACAGTTGACTTGTAATAGACAGTAACAGACACTCTGGCAGTAGCTGGCATAGGAGACGCCAGCTACTGATAGATTCCAGTTTCTGCCTTGAGGACCTAACAGTCTGCAAATGAAGCACTTAAGCAAATGGGTCCATTGCCATGTAACCCAGGCAGGAATGGAGGTTTGATCAGAGTTGAGAGCTGAGCCAGAGAAAGGATGGCAAGAACTTTAGGGGTTCCAAAGTTCCTGTGGTTCTGAAATTTCTAGCCCTTTTTTTTCTAAGAAATTTCTAGCTTATCTCCACACATTCCATGTCTCAAAAATAGAGTAGTTATAACTAAGTTAATAAGCTTAATTAATGCCTAATTTATGCCTTCTAAGATCTGGGAGTTGGGTATTAAGAGAACAAGTTCTACCCACGTGAACCAGCATAAGGATTGATCAAGATAGGTCAGAGAGGGAAGGTTACCTGGACACAGCACAGAAAGAGGGGAAAGACAGAGGGAAGGGTTGCAATGAGGGATATACCCATTAAAAAAAATTTCTACTGTATGTTCAGTGCAAGAGATACTGTGGTGAACTCCCAGCGTGGTTCTGCCCACCGGAACCATGTTTAACATGGTAGGAGTAACAGGCACCCTAATCAAATAATCATGATCATTAAAGTGAGTTTAGGCTGAGGTCTGAAGGGTTAATCAGGCAGCAAGGAGGGGCTAGAACTCATACAAAGCCCCAGTGGAAAATGGAATATAGTGAGCTGAGAAAGAGTGAGAGGCTGGTGTGGGCCATGTATGGAAAGGTAGACAGGGTCCTAAGCGTACAGGCCTGGAGCAGAGAGAGAGGAGGTGTTTTACTTCAAGGGAGAGGACTTGGACCCAAACTAGTGTGGTACCATGTGAACTCAGCTGTAGGAATTGAGGGTAGGGTCTGGGCTCATGGCTGCAGGCCTAGGAACGTTCTCAAGGAGGGGAAGGTATTTGAGATAAGTTTTGAAGGAGATTAGTCTCCCTGGTTGTGTGTGAAGGTGTGGGCTGGTTTGAGGTCTTGGGAGATTAGGGATGTTTCAGACTCAGCCTACACAAAGAAGTAGAAACTTGAAAAGCTGTAGGTCATTTGAAATAATGGGAGGAGTGGAGCAGAAGGAAGTATTGATTCTCTTGGGACTCTGAGCACTGTCTCAGGAGTTGCAATTTTTATTGTGCCTCCTCTCTGCTCAGTCATAGGCTATAACTTGGCCAAGACTCTGGGCAGCAGCTTCTAGATCCAGCCCCTGTCTGTCCCTTGAAGGGGTGAGGTCGCTAGAGAGGCCTGGGGAAAGAAGGACGGAGGTCGAGTTAATATGTTGCCTGTGTCAGTGAGATAAAGGAGTCATATGCGGGTATATGTACCAGTTATGTAAAGGTGCACAACAGTAAAACTACAACTCTGTCTAATTATGGGCTCGACATAGGGCTTCCTTTACTCTGATACCTCCTGGTGTGGCTGCTATCACTACTGTCCCATTTCACAGGTGAAGCAACTAGGGCTCAGAAAGCATGCAGAGGACCATAAAGCGAATTAGGCCTTTGCGCCCTACAAGCTGTCACGCAGAGCGTGACCCCACTCCCTGTCCCCACAGCACTGCCGCCATGGACAAGATCCTGGAGGCGGTGATGACGTCGTCCTACCCCGCAAGTGTGAAGCAAGGGCTGGTGCGTCGGGTGCTGGAGGCGGCGCGGCAGCCGCTGGAGCGCGAGCAGTGCCTGGCGCTACTCGCATTGGGCGCACGACTGTACGTGGGCGGCACCGAAGAGCTGCCGCGCCGCGTGGGCTGCCAGCTGTTGCACGTGGCGGGTCGCCACCACCCCGAAGTCTTTGCCGAGTTCTTCAGCGCCCGCCGGGTGCTGCGTCTGCTGCAGAGTGGCGCTGGCCCACCAGGCGTCCGCGCTCTAGCCTGCGTGCAGCTGGGCTTGCAGCTGCTGCCAGAGGGGCCGGCAGCGGATGAAGTGTTCGCGCTGCTGCGCCGCGAGGTGTTGCGCACCGTGTGCGAGCGCCCGGGGCCCGCGTCTTGCGCGCAGGTGGCGCGGCTGCTGGCACGGCACCCGCGTTGCGTTCCCGATGGCCCACACCGCCTGCTCTTCTGCCAGCAGCTGGTGCGCTGCCTCGGCCGCTTCCGCTGCCCGGCGGAGGGAGAAGAGGGCGCCGTGGAGTTCCTGGAGCAGGCCCAGCAGGTGAGCGGGCTCCTGGCGCAGCTGTGGCGCGCGCAGCCCGCCGCCATCCTGCCCTGCCTCAAGGAGCTGTTCGCAGTCATCTCCTGCACAGGTGCGTGTGCGGAGGGGATGCACGTGCGCACGCAGGTCCTGGATGGGTGCCCGGCCAGCTGGCTGTATATTCAGATCCTTCTGCACGTGTGTGCCTAATGCAGTGATGTGGCTCGTGTACGCACAGAATGAGTGATTAAGTGGAGGGGCAAGTAATTATTTTATTTAGTCAGTAAACCCAACGTAAGCCCCTGCTGTTCGTTGTACCCCGAGCATCGCATCGTGTTGGAGACGCAAAGAGAAGTGTATTGCCTGCTGTAGCACAAGGATTAACATGGACATGGAGGAGAAATAGGGTCTGAAGGCGCCAATAGGGAGAACCATCATGTGCCTTGATTGAGTGGTTTTCATAGAAGTGGTGGGCATTAAGCCACATCTTCAGAGAGAAATAGCATTAGGCCACATCTTCAGAGATAAATAACATTAGGCTGCAGGAGTAAGGTTTTCTGGGCATACAGGGGCAGAGGTCTGGAGATACCATGGAGCCTGCAGTGCCCACTCTGAAATAAAAGATCTTGGTTGTCCTTTGACAATTGTGAAATGTGTACAGTACAGTTAAACCTTGAACAGCTTAGATCTGAACGTCATAGGTCCACTTACTCCCAGATCTTTTCCTGTTTTACTACTAGACTCAAGGGTTTCTAGACTCTTCTTAAAATGCTATATGACGTCACTCATCTCTGAGGCGTTGTTTGTCTCCCCAGCAGATTGTATAGTACAGTAAAAAATGATTATGCAGAGTTTGACTCTGTGTGTGCCTCCCTTTCACACCCATTGTTCAAGGGGCAGCTACAGATTAAAGGACTGAAATAAATAAGTGCCCCTGTTAGGAAGAACCATGTGTGTGTAAAGGCTCTGGATCTTTCTAATCTCTAGGCCTCTTCCACCTAAAGAATACCTCCCCCCAATTTTGTGTCCACATGTCATTCCTACCTGGTCCACCCACTCATCATTAGCCCTTCTAAAGGCCCTGCCCATACACCCTCAGCTAGGGATAAACGTTTTGTTTCTTGCCCAGCACAAGGCATCGGAGGCTGTGATGATGTAAGAGGCAAGAAGACGGCTCTTTATTTGCTTTTCACAGAGGTCCAGCCTAGTACCAGTGCAGCATGAGAGCATGGGGTGATGGGGGAGATGAGGGGCCTGCCTGCTCCACTAAACAAAGCCCAGCTTCCTGTTCCAGAGGAGGAACCGCCATCTAGCGCCCTGGCCAGCGTGGTCCAGCACCTCCCACTGGAGCTCATGGATGGTGTCGTCCGGAACCTTAGCAATGATGACAGCGTGACGGATTCCCAGATGCTGACTGCCATCAGCAGGTGCAGTGCCAAGAGCCAGGTGGTGGCCAGGGTTGGGGGTTCCTCACTCTTCTTCCAGAAGTCCCTTCCACTGGCTGGGTGCTGGGCGAAATTTATAGTCAGAGGACCTGGGTTCTCATGCTTGATCATGCAGCAGCTGTTTCTTGGTCCTGCTCTGTGCTTGGCCCTGGCCTCGATGTGGTTGATATAGAGATAAGTGCCCTTGTGATGCTGTGAGGCAGAGTGGTCCTGCACCAGCCAGTGAATCTTCTGAGCCTCCAGTTATTTTTCTATAAAAGGGGAGGTAGGTGGTAGTATAAGAAGCTGCCAGGGTCCTGTGGGTTTGTATAAGAAGGTAAAAGTACTGTATGAAGTGCTTTCTGCATCTGACAAACATGATAAACAGAGTTTGGATGTTTTTAGCTAACAGAACTCCTGCACATCCTCCACCTCATTGAAATATCATCTTACTTTCAAAATAGTTACACCCACCTGCCCACTTATCCCAGAATATACCATCTACCGTCTTGCCTGCAGGCCTTAGCCCTGGCAGGCTCTATCATCTGGTACGCCTTCCCTGCCTTTCTTTCTATACCTGTGTGCAGCTCTACCTTCTCTACAGGGCCCACTGCTTTCCTTGACTTTGTGTGTGTGTGTGTGTGTGTGTGTGAAAATACATAGCAAAATCTACTACCCTCCCAGAGTTTTTAGACATAATGATTTAACATTAATTAAATTCTCATTATGTCAACATTCTCATTATTTCTGTACTAGTTCTTTCACTTCTAATTACTTAATCTCTTTGCTTCCTAATCCATCTTAGTTCCCTAGTACTGCTATAACAGGAATAGTGGAGAAGACTGGCTCTAACAAACAGGAATTTATTCTCTCACATTTTGGGAGGCTTGTTGTTATTGTTTGGTACTGTTGAGTCAAATGTGACACATAGTGACCCTACGAACATTAGATCTGGACCATGTCCTATCCTGGGCCCTCCTTAGCATCTCTGACATACTCTAGCCTATTGCTACAGTCATTGTGTTGATTCATCTTATTGAAGGTCTTCCTCTTTTCTACTGAACCTTCATCTTCTTTAACATGATGTCCTTTTCTAAGGACTGCTCCCCCAGCAGTGTGCTCAAAGTATGTGAGACAAAGTTATATCATCTTTGCCTCTAAAGAACAACCTGGCTGCATTTTCTCCAAGACTTGTTAGTTCTTTTGGTAGTTGATGGAATATTAAAGAATTTTCTCCAATATCACAACTCGAACGCATCAATTCTTCTTCTGTCATCCTTATTGTCTAACTTTCAGATGCATACCAAATAATTGAAAAGACCTTGGCTTTGATCAGGCACTCCGTAGTCTTTAAACTGACATTGTTTTCCTTCAGCGCCTTGGAGAGGTCTCCAAGATTTACCCAATTCAGTGTGTCTTTTATTGATTTCCTGAATGCTGGTACCAAGAATGTTGATTGTGGCTCCAAGTAAGATGAAATAATTGACAATTTCTGTCTCTTTCCCATAAATCATAGTGTTGTCTGTTGGTTCATTGATGGAGACCTTGTTTTCTTGATGTTGAGATGTAATGTATATTGAAGACTGTAGTGCTTCATCTTCCGCTGCAAGTGCTTCAAGTCCTCACTTCTAGCAAGGAAGGTTGTGTCATCTGCATAATGCAGATTGTTCATGAATGAGTTTTCTTCCAATCCTGATGCCACATTCTTCCTTATAAAGTCCAGTGTCTTGAATGATTTGCTCAGCATACAGATTGAATAGATATGGAGAAAGGAGGCTAGAAGTCTGAATTTAGAGTGCTTGCTCTGGGGGAAGATTTTTTTCCCTCTTTTGGCTGTGGAGGGAGGTCCTTATCTCTTTTCAGCATCTCTTGGCCCTGTGCTTCTTCTAAATCTCCATGTGCCTTGATATCAGTCTTCTAGATCTGGGAGGTTCTTAGTACAGGGACCCCAGGTCCAAAGGATGCAACTCTTTTTTCTTAGTAGGAATCAGATCCTTCTCTTTGCTCACTTCTATTTCTTATCTCTTTTACAGTAAATATGATACAAGTGATGCCCCTAGGAAACACTGTTAGATGAGGGTTGTAACCTGAATAAGGGTATTATGTCCCACCCTAATATCCTTAAATTTGACTGGCCAATTACATCATAGCTGTACACATTACATCATAGCTGTACATTGTCATTACATATTATACAATGATATCCTTAGAGGCCGTTGAGAATCATGGCACAGCCAAGCTGACATATATATTTGGGATATACAGTTAAATCCATGATATCCCATCACCTGACTTCCAAAATTCATGTCCTTAAAACATGTAAAACACTTTTACTCCATCATATCAATCTAAAAATCTTATATCAACTGCCAACTAAATCTCATCCTAGGGCAAAACTCCTAGGATCTAGAAATCTCTAGGAATCTAGAACAGAATTTATATTCTGAAATAAAATGGAAGAACAGGCACAAGGCAGGAATTTCTGTTACAAATGGGAGAATGTAGAGGGAAATACAGAAAAACTGGCATCAAATAAGTAGTTATTTTAGCTTCCAAGGTTTAAAAATGATCCTCTGTCTCTGAAACTGCCTAGGCAGTTACTCTTCCTCGAGATCCTAGACGTTGATATTTCTGTCTACACTCAGAGGGAAGCCCTTCAGCCTTGGGCTTCAGCTCAACCTTCTCATCCCACTGGGTTGGAAACTCTGCTTCCTCAGCTTTGAGGGGACAATATTACATCCTCTTAGTCCATTTGCATGGCAACCTTACCTCCTTGCCCCACTCCCCAAGTTTAGGTGGCAAACATGGTCCCATTCTCCCAGCCAGTAAGAATGACAACTTCACACCCAGAAATGAGTGCATGAAGCTCTGACTTTTTTAAACCCTGAAAGTTGTAGCTTTTCCCTTTGAAATTCCAGTGACATGGCCCCCTGTTTAAGACTGAGACAGTTCTGTTTCCTATGCTACTTGTCTATTCATGCTCTGCTTCCTTTTACTTGGCCCCTTGACTCTCTCTGTCACATCTAGAGGAAGGTGCTGGTCTCCTTTCTACATCTGTGAGCTCAGCTTTCCCTGAAGAGATCCAGCAGGTTCTCAGTACAGAACTCTGGGTCCAAAGAATATGCTCTGCTCATGGCTAGTCTTTTTTGGTGATAGCCAGATACTGTCTTTTTGCTGGCTTTTCTCTCTTGTAACATAAAAGGTGATGCATACCACATCCCAGGAAAATGCCCCTTACATTCAGTTGGGGTTGTGACTTTGAGTAAAAGGGTTGCATTCCACCCTATCCCTTTATAACTGATTGGCTACTTGTACCAGGTCACTTAGATTGACTTAGATCATTGGGGATGACTACATCATTACATAACTGCCACGTGACATCATTACAAAGCTGCCAGACTACTGAGAACCACAGCCCAGTCAAGTAGACATGTTTTGGAGGGGACACCAGACTTCTCACTCATGCTTCAAAATAGCTGTTTGCTCTTTAATATTTTATAAATTCTTTTAAAAGTAACACAGCACTTAAGTGTGACAATATTCTTTGGGTTAAACTACTATGTACTTAGTTTGCAATTGACTTCAGGGGATAGTTTTAATTCAATTCTTGAAAGTAACTCAGAGCTCTTGGGGACTCCTTCAGACTCAATAGTTACGGTAGGTCTGGATTCTTTAGGAATTTGAAGTTCTGTTCTACAGCTGTGCCCCCCTCCCTTTAATAAGGATTTCTCTATTATGTTATTGATCAGAATTTTCTGTAATAGTGGCTGGACGCCATCTATTTCCTATCTAAAGGTAGGGGAAGCAATGGTTTGTGTGGACACACATTCCTATAGTCCAATTCCTTCTCTGATTCCAGGTTTTGGTTTTTTTATCTTTAGTGGTTAAGGATGTGGCCTCCAGAGGTAAACTCCTTGAACAAGTTCCTTTGTTTTAGTCTCTTCACCTATAAAATTCAGTATCCTGGAACCCACCTTAAAGAGTTGATGTGAGGATTAAAGAAGATAAAACAAGATGATGCAAGTACATAGAACAATTCCAGAAATATAAGCAGTTATTATCATAATTACCATTATTTGCTCTGTCGGGTTTTTTTATTATCATAATTACCATTATTTGCACTGTCCTTGTCTGGCTGCATTACAGCAGGATACTGAGTATCAAAATAATGATTACAGTAACATATCATGAGCACCTTGTGGCAGCTTTGTGCTCAGTCCACAAAGGGATTGAGTTGTGGTTCAGATGAGGGAAATATGTGTAAAGCAGAACAGTGCCTGGTGCAGAGTGAATATACAAATGTTGATTATTATTCTTTCTTTCAGTCTATACTATAACTCTGTGAGGTAGATCTTGCCCCCCTTTTATAGAAGGGGGAAAATCAAGGATGAGAGAGGGGAAATGACTTGTTCTGGGTCACACAGTGAGGGCTAGCAGGAGTTGGAGTTTCAGACCCAGAGCTAGTGCTTCCTCTGCTCAGTGTTAAAGTCCCTTCCTGCCTTGGCAGCCCCAGTGTGGTAGGATGAAGCTTGGAGTTCTGAGAGGGTTTGGGTGCCTGCTCCGTGGACTGTGAGCCTGGGGGTTTCCTTGGTGTCTCATTGGGCCCACTTGCATTTCCCAGAAGCATCATGTTCACCTCATAAGGCGCAGGTCCCCTGCACAGGTGTGGGTCAATATAGGTTGCCAGGAATTATCATCAGTCCTTGGGCTGTCCTTAGGTATTTGGGACTTGTCCCTGTGTCACTGTCACCCCCCCCCCCACGCCCCACCAGGATGATCGACTGGGTGTCCTGGCCTCTGGGGAAGAACATTGACAAGTGGATCATTGCACTGCTCAAGGGCCTGGCCGCTGTCAAGAAGTTCAGCATCTTGATCGAGGTTTCGCTCGCCAAAATTGAAAAGGTTAGTGGCCCCTGTCCTAGCCCAGGCTTGTGCTTTCCCATTAGTATATTGCCAATTGCAGTGCCAGCCTGGGAGGCAGGATCCTGGGGCTACTGCCCCTCTCTGGGTCCCAGGCTCCCTCCTTTCAGTTCTCTGACTGCTTACTGAGGTGCATAGGTCTTTAAAACTTTTGGTCTGTGCTCGCTTCGGCAGCACATATACTAAAATTGGAACGATACAGAGAAGATTAGCATGGCCCCTGCACAAGGATGACACGCAAATTCGTGAAGCATTCCATATTTTCGACCCTGAAATGAACCCGTCTGTAACGAAGGCTAACTCCTAACTCCTTTCACCTACAAATTTCGTCTTTGGATACAAAGCTAAGTGGATAGTCCTTACCGAGGGACTGTTTCAAAAGAGGCAGGGAGAAGAAGAGGAAAAAAAAAAAACTTTTGGTCTGTCCAGCCATCCAGTAGTCATTTACCTGTCTTGCTCTCCTTTTCTGCATCCCATCCATTCAGGTTTGAGAGCACCTTTGCGCCCTTCCTGAGTCAGTTGCTTTGACTCTGGTGTGACTTTGGCTGGACCCTACCGCCACTCTCAGGCCTGGGGCTGCACTTGGCCTTGAGGGCCCCTTCTGAATGAGTGCCTCTCTTCCAGGTCTTCTCTAAGTTGCTGTACCCCATTGTCCGGGGAGCCGCCTTGTCTGTCCTCAAGTACATGCTTCTGACTTTCCAGCACTCTCACGAGGCCTTCCACCTGGTAAGGGTCCTGCTGTCTCAGGAACAGATGACCTCACAGCCCTCACTGGGCCACCTCAGGAGGCCAAATGTGCTTTGTTAAGGGATTCAAAGAATCAGAACTCAAAGCCCATGACCTTGAACTTCCGGCTGTTAGGACCAGAGAAAAGTCAAGACCCCCTTTTACAGACAGGAAAATGAGGCCAGATTGTGTGACCTCCCCAAGAGGGATACAACAGAGTGACAGAGCCTAGAACTATGATAGTTAATGTTCCTTGGTCACCAGCTGCCTGCCAGGCCTGGTGCTAAAGGCAATACCCGTGCGCAGACTTGTTTCTGTGGACTTGATTCTCACTCTGGCGATCCTCTAGGGCAGAGGAGAACTGTCCTGAAGGGTTCTGGGGCCATAGATTGTCACAGAGGTAAGTTGTCACCTCCTTTTTCCTACAGAGTGAGTTTGGACTTTTTTGGCTAGCTAGCTGGCAGCTGCTAACCACTGCACCAACAAGGCTCCTTGGTAAAGCCAATGTTGTTGTTATGTGTCATTGAGTCAAGTGATTCATAGCTCTGAACCTTGTGCTAGCCTGAGCCAATCTCACTATCTCTGACACACCAACCCGCATTACCCCAGACACTGTGTCAATCTAGCTCATCTGGGGTCTTCCTTTCCCGTGTTGTTCCTCCACCTTCCAAGCATGATGTTCTTCTTCAGGACTGGCCCCTCCTGGCCATGTGCCCAGATTATGTGAGCCAGAGCTTCAGTCTATGTAGTAATTAATTTAACTTCTAACATAGCCTCTTTTTTTTTTTTTTTAAATGTGGAAATTTTAGGTTAGAAAGGTTTTGTCATTTATCCCAAAAGATCCTTAGGAAGTTTAACTGTGACTGTGACTGTGACAATGAAATAAAAGAAAATGTGTCAGAGATCATGAGGATGGAACAGGATAGGGCGAGGTTCAAATCTTTTATTCATAGGGATGCTATGAGTCATACTCGATTCAGTGACACCTGGTAGCCACATAGCTGGAGATGGTGTGGCATCCACCCCGGTGTCTCTCCTACTGCACCCGCTGCTCATCTCTCTTCCAGCTTGATCACCTCTCTGTTGTCTTCTTCTGGGGCCACCTTTGAGAAGGGTAGCCATAGTGCCCAGGGAGCTACTCTCTTCACCCTGTCTGTCCTCTCCAGGGTTCACCCAATGGGGCCTTTGTTTCCAAAACCCATTTTTGTTGCAGTGGAAAAGCACAGAACCAGGAATTGGCACTTGGCGTTGATGCCTAGCTCCACCATCTGCCAGATGTGGGAACCTTGTCCCAGACACTTAACCTCTCAGAGCCTAGAATGGGGTAAAATCCTAGGCTGGGAGGAGAGAATTAGATAAAGTAGAGACTTGGCAAACATTTGCTTCCTTCTGTCCTTTTTCCTTGCTCCAATACTTGTGGCCTGACTCCATTGTCCTGGGACACTGTGGTAGAGCACTCCTGTGGGTTTGAGAATGAAATCCATAGCTTGGGGAAAAGAGACAGGCTTTGGGTTCGATCAGACTGATACAATACCTTTTACTTCTATAAACCAAAAAACCCCACTGCCGTTGATTCTGCCCAGAGTCACTATGAGTCCGGAGGACAGAGCAGAATAGCCACATAGTGTTTCCAAGCCGGCAATCTGTCCAGGAGCGCACTGCCACATTGCTCCCACAGAGAAGCTGGTGAGTTTGCACTGCTGACCTCATGGTTAGTTTAATACTTTAACCATCGTGCCTGGTACCTCGTGACTGTGAAATCCTTGGTGAACTGTATGACTTTTCACCTTAATGTTGTAGTTTAAAATTGCTGCTCCCAAAAGTCTGGTGAGGATGAGTGAGCCGATTAGGTGTGACATGCTAGACTTGGAAACGCTTCGTAGAAACAATGATGGTGTTTGCTCTTTGAAGTGCCCACTCACTCTGAGGGCCGCCATCCCTGACCGTCCTGTAGCTTCGCTCCTGGGGAGGCAGAGGAGCCCGCCCTTCAGGTCTATAGGTTCCTCGGGAAGGTCAGTTGGCTGAGGTTTAGCAGCTGGGGTTTGGCCTCAGGCCTCCTCTAAACTCTGTGAAAAGAGTATTACTTATCCCATTTTACAGATATAGAGACTGAGGCAGTCTTTTAAAAGGAATCTTATCTTTAAAAAGGAGTCATCTGCCAGTAGAACTTAGTGCTCCCACGTCAGGGAAACAGTGGACAAAGTGGGCAAGTCTTCCTGCCTCAAAGAGGTCTGGGTAATTGTAGCAGTGACCACAGTTCAGTGTCCCAAGTGGGTAGATAGGTGCTGAGCCTGTCCCTCTCTGCTCTCACAGCTCCTTCCTCACATTCCGCCGATGGTGGCTTCTCTGCTCAAGGAGGACTCCAACTCGGGCACCAGCTGCCTGGAGCAGCTGGCAGAGCTGGTCCATTGCATGGTGTTCCGGTTCCCGGGCTTCCCAGACCTGTATGAACCCATCATGGAGGCCATTAAGGTGAGTGACAGTCCCCTGTGTCTCCTTACCCCACTATTCAGGGGTGCCAGCACAGCTCTTGCTCGTGCTGTAAAATGCATTGGTGGCTGCTTCCCATTATTTGGTCCCTAACAGCCTCCCGTCACCTCCTTAGGCCCATCCTGTGCTTCAGGTACACAAAATCACCTCCTGCTTCCCAGCTAGGTCATTCTCTTATGACTGCTTTGCACCTTTGCATGCTGCTGTTGTTAGGTGTTACTGAGGGGGCTCTGACTCATGTATACAGCAGAGTGAAGCTTTGCCTGGTCCTGTGCCGTCCATGCTGTGCTTAAATCCGTTCTTGCTCCCACTGTGTCAACACATTCCACATTTTTTTTGCCAATACCACAAATCAGACACATAATTTCTTCTTATTATTAGGTGTCATCGAATCAAGTACAACTTATATCTGAGTCGTACTCAACTTGCATATGTTGGTCTGAACCCTGTGCCATCCTCATCCTCTCTGGCACACTTGAGCCCATTGCTGCAGTCACTGTGTCAGATCTGCCTTGTTGAGGGTCTTCCTTGCTTTCACTGACCCTCTACATGTTTAAGCATCATGTAGCCTTTCCTAGCAAATACTCAAAGATTTGACAGAGGTTTGTCATCTTTGCCTCCAAGGAGCATTCTGGCTGTACCTTCTCCAAGACATGGCCATTTGTGCTTTTGGCAGACCATGGGATATTCAATACTTGTCTCTAACACCACAATTTATTGAAAAAAATTCAAAGACATCAACTCCTTTTTTGTCATCCTTACTTATTGTCCAGCTTTCAGATGCATTGCAAGTGATTGAAAAGCCCATGGCCTGAATCAGGTGCACCTTAGTCTTAAAATGGACATCATTGCTCTTCAGTAATTTGGCGAGGTCCCACACAGCAGACTTGCCCAATGCAATATGTCTTCTGATCTGATTGGTGGTACCAGGGTTGCTGATTGTGGGTCCAAGTAAGAGGAAATCATTAACAACTTCAGTCTTTTCTCCATCTATCATGATGTTGTTGCTTATAGGTCCAGTGGTGAGGATTTTGGTTTTCTTGACATTGAGATACGGTCAATATTGAAGGCTGTAGTCTTTGACCTTGTTCAATAAGCGCTACAAGTTCTCCTCGCTATCGGCAAGCAAGGCTGTGTTGACTGCATAATGCAGGTTGTTGGAGTCAGTTGACCTCTGATCCTGATCCCACATTCTTCTTCATAGAGTCCAGTTCCTCAAATGATTTTCTCAGCATACGGATTGAATAGGCATGGAGAAAGGATACAACCCTAACACACATTCTTCCTGATTTTAAACCATGCAGTATTCCCTTGCTTCTTTTGAACATCTGCTTCTTGGTCTAGGTATAGGCTTTACATGCGCATACCTAAGTGTTCTGGGATTACCGTTCTTCTCTATGTTAGCCATAATTTGTTATGATCCACACAGTCAAAAGTTTTACATCATTAATAAAATACAAATAGACATTCTTCTAGTATCCTCTGTTTTCCACCAGGATCCATCTGACATCAGCAATGATATCCCTGGTGCCATGGCCTCTTCTAAACTGAATTTGAACTTCTGGCAGTTCTCTGCCAATGCACTATTAGCAATATTTGGCAATATTTTAATGATCTTCAGCAATATTTTGCTTGCATGTGATATTAATGATATTGTTAACTAATTTCCACATTGTGTTGGGTCACCTTTTTGGGGAATGAGAGTAAATATGGATCTCTTCCAGTCAGTCAGCCAAGTAGCTGTCCTCCAAATTTCCTGGCATAAACTGGTGAGCACATCTTAGATATTCCTTATTAATTCCTTAAGGCAACTGAAAATAGTTTGAATCAGAGATATGTTAGTCTTTAAAGTGACTTCCTTGCTCTTTTATTTTTCGCTTTTGTTCTTTAAAGAAGCACATAACAGCAGATTTTGCCCATTGTAATAAATTGTTCAATTTCTTGACTGCTCTTTCCATGGATGTTGCTTGTGGATCTGAGTAAAATTAAATCCTTGACAACTTCAACCTTGTCTCTCTTTATTGTAACTTTTACTGACCCAGTCGTGAGGATTTTTTTTTGCTTTCCTTGTGTTGAAGTGTAATCTATACTGAAGGCTCTAGGCTTGGGGCTTCATCAGTAAATGCTTCAAATTTTTATTTTCTACAAGCAAGGCTGTTAATGAGTCTTCTAATCTTGATACTACATTCTTCTTCATATAGTCATGAAAAGGACTTCTTATAGCTTCTCAGATTATTTGTTCAGCATACAAATTGAATAGATATGGTTAAAGGATACAATCCTGACCCATACTTTTCCTGATTTTGAACCATGCATTATCACCTAGGGTTTTTTTTTTATGGTGAGAAAAATTTGTATTTAAAATTAGTCATCTGGACTCAGTTTAGGTGATCCCAATTTTGTTGGCAGCATTCAAAGCATCATAGTCAGGAGTAAGTTGAACATAGGCCTTTTTCTCTCCATCAGGCCTGATCAAGGTGTTGACCTTGGCCACATCAACGTCATAGAGCTTCTTTACAACTTGTTTGATTTGGTGCTTGTTGGCTTTCACATCCACAGTGAACACAAGTGTGTCGTTATCTTCTATCTTCATGGCTGACTCAGCTCACCTTGCTTTTTATAACAGCTGATTGTTGGCCTATGTATAGGTTCCACATGAGCACAGTTAAGTGTTTTGGAATTCCCACTCTTCAAAATGTATCCATAATTTCGTATGATTTACACAGTTGAAGAGTTTTGCCTTGCCAGGGCACTGCATAGGCTGTTCCAATGGCACACCCTTCTCTTGTTCTGCCAGGAAACCCCAGAACTCATTGCTGTAGAGTTAACTCTGACTCCATTGGGTTTTCAAGGATGCAGATCTTTATGGGAGAACATTGCTCATCTTTCTCCCACACAGCAGCTAGTGGATTTGAACTGATAATTCAGTTAGCAGCCCAACAGGTAATGGTCTGTGCCACTAGGGCATCTCCTCTTTGCTAGCTTAGCTCCTACTTACCCTTCAAGGCTCTGCTCAGGTATTATTTCCCTAGGAAACCTTCCCTGTTGACCTTCAATACCTTTTCTCACACCTCTGCCCTCACCACACACCAGTACTAGGGTCCTCTGGGTCCCCCAGCCTTGGTGCATCTCTTTGTCACAGACTGGGTGTCTGTCCTCTCAACCAGACTTTGAGTACTGTGGGAGCAGGGACTGTTCACAATTGTTCACATGACAAATGGGCCCCACTGGGAATTAGGGACACAGGCAGGAGGCAAAGTGAATCTCTCTCACTGAGGAGTTTGTATCTTGATAATAGGTGACAGACTTGTAACTTTGATCTCAGCAATCTATGAAGATGTCCATGAGGTGAGCCTAGAACAGAATGGGGAGAGAACCCCTCCAGTGTTAGAAGAAGCTACCAGGAAGAAGGGCTTCTGAGCTGTGCTTGATCTAACAATACTAATAATAACTGACTGACAAGAACTAGCATTTGTAGGTAATGCTCCATTGGAAGGTGTTGAAGATCATTAGCAAAATTTTTCTGGGGGAGGTAACACTTAAGTAGAGCCTTAAAAATAAATAGGTGCTCTCCTGAAAAAATAGAAACTTTTATAGTTAGAAAAACCCTATGTAAACATCTGTATTTTTTTTTGTTGTTGTTGTTACATTCACAAGAACTTGATAAAGTAGATTTTAAGGTCTACTACAGGTCTGTCCAGGAGAGAGTGAAACCAGGTTTCTCCTTGGAGACAAGGATTTTGAAGCTCCTTCTCACATACTTTAGGCATGTTGCCCAGAGGGACTGGTTTTTTGAGAAGGACATCATGCTTCGAAGAGTAGAAGGGCAGCACAGGAGAGGAAGACCCTGGATAAGATGGATTGACATAGTGACTAGGGTAATGGGGGCAGGTGTGTCAGACAGTGAAATTGGCACAGGATTGAGCAGGGTTCTGAGCTGTTGTGCACAGGGTCACTATAAGTCACAGGCCACTTGATAGTACATACCAACAACAACAAATGTATAGGTCAGTCAGATGTAGAAGTCTTCTAATAAGCTTTTTGCTCAATTTTACAAATGACTTGTCACATTTGGATTTGAAACTGTTTTACAAAACTTGGATTTTTCTTCAGAATTAAATCATACTTCTAAAAAAATAAACAACCCCCCCAACACACACACACACACACACACACACACACACACACACACACATGAGCAGTGATGTCACTCTAGAGACTAAGGTGCGTCTGATACAGGCTATGGTCTTTGCAATCACTTACTGTGTGTCAGAGTTGGACAATGACTAAGGAGGGTAGAAGGAGAATTGATGCATTTGAGGTGTGGTCTTGGATAAGAGTATTGAATATACCTTAGATTGCTAAGAAAAGGAACAGGTTCAACCTGGAGAGAGTTAAATCAGGCTGCTCTTTGAAGGCAAAGATTCTGAGTGGGGAGGAAATGTGGACTAAGTGACTAACCTCAGTAACTGGTGGCTCATGGGACAGGAGGTGAGGCTTAGGACCTGTACCCAGTGGGGTCTGGCATGAAGACTGCTATATAAAGTCAGGACCCTAAAAAGGCATTACTGACATTGGGGGGATATGTGTATGTATACACCCCCCCCATTTATAGGCATTTATATGTAGACAAATACACGGTGTATACACATACATAAAATATACACATATATAGGTGACTTAGGGGTAAGATAGGGAACTTTGGTGGCCTAGTGGTAAAAATCCCTGCTGCAGTTCCCAAAGGCACAGTTCTAGTCCACTAGCTGCTCCATGGAAGAAGAATTGACAGTGTCCTCCCTTGTGATCAGTTGCCTCTGAAAACCCACTGGAGGGCTGGTTATGGATCACTTCTCACTAGATGGTACTCAGCAACAACAGTAGTAAGATAGTTAGCTCTGGTGGCTTAGGGGTAAGGTATTGTGCTGCCAATCCAAGATTGTCGTTGTTGGTATGTGCCGTCAAGTCACTTGTGACCCATACTG